ACCCCTTCCTCCTCTGCTGCTGCTACCGACGGCGCCAAAGAACGCACTCGGAAGAGTTGAGCTCGACGAGCCAACATTTCTACAATGATGATAACTTTACTGGAAACGTTTCTATCTTGGCCTACCTAGAAGATTCACCGCTTGTTGATCGATGACCTTAACCGTGTTGTAGACTAGGTGACTGCCTAGGAGGGTGGCGACTGTGAAAATCTTAGCATCGTAGGTCTCAGTGACCTACGCACAGACATCCATCCTCAAAAGGGGTCCATGAATCGGCACTACCTGAGGTCCGAAGAACCCTTCAGAATCCATAAGCCATATCTCCGATCCATCCGGTGCACTGAGGTCGGTACGGCACATCCAAATTCCTAGGGTCTGCGGGGAGGTCTTAGGACCTGATCAAGGACCAGGGACTAACGAGAGGGTTCATAGGGATCGTATAGAATTACCAACGGAGAACGTGGACGGCTTCTGGAGGAGGGAATTCAAGAGAAAGCTCTTGCCAGAATGGTAGGGGCCAACGACCGATATCACGGAAATAGGACGACGTTGTGATGCGGATCGTAGGAGGTTAATCGACTCAGGAACAACCTATGAGAGTGAGACCACCTCGTGAGTGTGGCAGGAGGTCGCCTCCTACTTGCAGGTTATTGTGGTCCTTAGAAGGCTTTACCACTTGAACAGGAACAAAGAAAGGGAATTTGTCCGACTTGGGCTCCCCACGTGTATCTTGCCTCTCGGCAACGCCGCTGGTGATACTCACCTAAGACATGAGTAATTTCTTTCTAGATCGGCCGAGCAACTTCGACAACGTCATCACCGAATCACTTCACAGATTCGATACACCCGACAGTTCACTCAACTCTAGTACAAGAACCTTGATATGCAAAGAAAATCGGACTCATCACAATCCAAATTCCTGGAGGACAAGTATGTGCCATCGTACACACTTCCCAGCCTACTACCAACGACACGACCAGTAACAGCCGAAGCAACTTCCAATGACTCATAGGGAAACAACAGGTAACTCCTGACAAGATAGTCTATACCACACCGTCGTGTACACGATGATGGGAGTCTGTCCATATGCTACACGAATGCTTCACGTCTAAAGACTCAACACACAATTATTCCGCTTGAGACTTGAACGTTTTCTAAAGGGAACTGTCGCCAGGCATTACAAACCTTCGGCTTGCCGAACGGTGAGAGTGCGTCGCTCCGTCCTCATCATAAGAAACAGTTTATAAAAGGAGGATAACCCTTTATCCCAAGTTAAATTCCGGAAACGATACACACGTCGTTCCGCTGGCAAAGCAAAAAAAGGGACAGTCGATAGTATCGAATATCGACTCGGTACACAGCGCACGCGTGCAACATTGCACCACATATGCACGCATTAAGAATAGCTTGCAGATCAGAGTGCCGCGTAGATAGTGCTGTTATTTTGCTCAACCCATCTCTCCCACACCGAGTACAAGAGCCGGCTTGCTTGAAGACCACATCTTTCCCATCTTTGACGTCGACGCGACATCCTAGTGGTATCACGGATACCAAGCAGCATTAATCTTGCGAGTGCAGCCTTCAAGCCCGACTCTTCATGGACACGCCTAGCTTGTCTCCAGACCCACGTGTTTCGAGTGTGGTAATTTAACGAGTTAACACAAGTTAAATACCGATACGTATGATCGCGTCGCTTCGCTAGCAATTCCCACTGCAAAGATGAAACCGCGAAGCGAGCGGATCTTCCCCTCGATCCGTTTATCATGGACACGAGATTGAAACTCTTCTCATCACAAGTTATACAAGGTGGCTTTAAACTCAGAATCGTCGGCAGTCGCCTCCATTCTCCGGCTCGCCTTAGAACTTTCCTTATATCATAGCGCGGTAACCGGCAGAAGGACTTACCCCTTTCATAACCTAATCTCAACAGTCCCATTTGCAAGCATCGCAAAGGGTGTAGACACGCACCGTCGGCACACTCCCTGAGGGTCACTCAGACTCTGTGTCTCTCTCTTTGGTAATTCTAGAGTCGATTCGTACCGAACAACCGTGCCAGACCAACCCGAACAGGAGTAGAATATTTAACATAAAACTAGGCGCCCTACGAAAGATCAAAGTCTACACCACCGACGCAACTGCAAGAAACGCTTGTGTCCGATATG